GGCAGCCCTTAGATTCGGTACGCTATACCTTATCTATTCCGGCAACCCTAACCTTGATGGCATACATACATGTGAGCCGCATTCCCCACCCCCGCAAGGTATCACATCGGCTCATGGAACGATAGCATCAGCTTCATGGAATCAGATTGGCACGAGGTAAGTGCCCCATAATCGAAGGTTTTAGGAACACAAAACTCATCATTGTATATAGGTAGCACGAATCGGCGCCGCGCCGGCTTCGCAGCAGGTTGTGGGCTACAGCGCATCTCTACCTCCAGCTATAACATTTGATACGAATCAAGAGCTGTTATGGCTCGGGAATGAACATGTAGGTTTTGAACCTTGTTTGGGACGTATGGTGTCGGTTTTGACGGATACATCTGTGGTTGAGTAGGGAAGAGTGACATCGTACTTTGGGCCAGAGTTGAGGAAATACACTAGCTACCGTGGCCATGCGCACGCCAATCCTATGTTGTCGACAGAAAATGCCGTGAGGCAGGTTATGGTCAATGATCGGGGGGTGATATCTTTGTCGGCAAAGAGCTTGCATTTTGCTATTAGAAGGGGATTGGCACAGTGGAATATACAGTCGGTAAACCCCCTCGCTGAGAGGATCTTTGGGTGTGGCGGATACTTGATGTTGGAAGGACATTGGCTAATTATTATTGCTTTAGGAATGATAAATTCCAGAATCTTTCAACAATGGCGTACACAAATCGAGGGACGTCGGAGATCTTGGTTGGTGGTAGTCAGTACTCAATGCTTACAGTGAACCTCGACCGTGGGACAGTTTTGGGAGAGGTATTTACATCTGTGTCAAACTTTCCCCAAAATTAATAGCAATTAATCTGTATACGGAGTGTATAGTATGATACAGAAGACGATATCAAAGTTATGAAACGGAGCTCAAGATCAATTGTATATGGCACAGCAAAGGGGGACATAAAGCTCCTAGACATGAACACCATGAAGATTATCAAGGAATTTTCTCAAGTTCATGGAAGCGCAATATCCGACATTGATACGCAAGCGAATACCTTGCTAACATGCGGTTATTCGCCAAGGTCTGTTAAAATAGCTCGTGTGGTAAATTTATTTTAACTAGGGATTAGGCAAGGAGCTTACCATCTCGATACACTCGTCAAAGTTTATGATCTTCGAATGAATAGAGCTCTTCCACCTATTGGGTTTCCCTCTGGAGCAGCTTTCGTACGCATGCATCCGAAGATGTCAGCATCAGCTATAATTGCTTCTCAAGCAGGTCAATTCCAAATAATCGATATCATGAATCCTGCAGCTATGAAGCTCTATCATGCGAACGTTTCTAGCTATATAACAGCTATGGAATTAGCTCCTTCAGGTGATGCATTGGCTCTAATGGATGCAGATGGGTACTTGCAGCTCTGGGGTTCGCTGGACAAGATAAGATTTACCGAACTGATGAATCTTGTGGAGTGGCAAGACCCTCACCCTTTGCCTAATATAATAGTCAATGAAGATACTCCACTCAACACCATAGGAATGCCCTTCTATCATGACGATCTTTTATCTGCTTGGCCACCCCACATGGTGTTCGATGTGAATAAGCTACCACAAAAGATTGACTCGGATATATTAGAAGCTTCAGCAAAGACAGGATATGCGCCGTATCACAAGAGGACACCGCGATACTGTATTGAAAAAACTCCCACAGATACCCCGGTGCCTGCGCCAAAATTCTTAAGCCAGCAGGCTAAGAGTAAAAACAGAGATTCTGGGGACTTCGGTGATGCTAAATTACTATTTGGAGACGAGGCACGGAGACAGTTTGAGGTGCCGCCGGCGTACCGAAAAGTTGAGATCAAATATAGCAAATTTGGAGTTGACGATTTTGATTTTGAGTGAGCCATATCTTCAAAATATTGCCCTTTGATAGAAATTTGCATGGCTCATCTTTTTATAGGTATTTTAACAAGACGAGGTTCTCGGGATTAGAAACACATATTGCAAATTCGTATATGAATCCGCTATTGCAGATGTACAAATTCACACCACTATTACGAAATTTGGCACTCCAACACACAGCGACATCATGTACAAAAGAGGACTGTATGTTATGTCAAATGGGCTTCTTATTCGATATGTTGGACAAAGCAAATGGCCAAAATTGTCAAGCTACAAACTTCTTAAAAACTTTCAGCTCTTTACCGACCGGTGTGCTTTCCCTTGTCCCTTATGCAGTCACTATGAATTGCAGTACTGATAGGGGATTGCTCCATCTTCTGGCGGCCTCCACGGGTTTTAGCTGCTCGACACGGTGTACTTGAGGAAGATTCGTCAGGAAATGGGTCTTTGACGGCAATGATTCAGAGCCTAAACCGCTTTTTACTAGACCAGGTTTCGTTGGATCAGAGAAACTGGGATTCCAACTCAACTGTACTTGAAGAGGCCATTAATGTTGCAGCTACAAAGATCCAGCGATGTGTAGTATGTGGGAAGGAAACACGTCCTCTGGGCGACACCAACGTTACTGATCTTAATTATCTTCCAAAGGTATGTGCATATGTTTGTAAAATTTTCCCTAGCTGACCAGAGAGAAAGCTCCCAAATAAACCAGTCATGACTTTCTCCGCAATTGCAAAACAAAGTATCCAACTAGATACAAACCAGAAAGGGTGGTGCGATAAGTGTCGTCGGTATCAAACGCAGGTCATGCGGAAAACCATTCGAAAGATGCCCAAAATATTAATGTTCAATGCTACTGCGCATGAAAAAACTGCAAACTTTGCAAAGGATCATTGGTCGACACCCGGGTGGCTACCTGACGAAATTGGAATGGTTGTGACTAATAGCCAGTTGAATATATACCAGGGTGATGATCTGGATGCCATGAAAGAAAGAGATAGGAGCGGTGCCTTGATTGTGTATGAACTTGTCGGCTTTGTAGCAGAGATCAAGTTGGAAGAATCTCGAAACTCGCATCTCATTTCTTTCGTTAATGGTTTGGCCTTTCTTTATGATTTTCTATGGTTGGAATCTTCGTAAATTCTAACGATGTTTGATCGTAGTTGCTCTTTCGTCAGTGGAGCGTACCGAGGATAACAATTGGCATATGTTCAACGATTTCATGGTCAGACCTGTCTCCAAAGAGGATGCATTAGACTTTACGCCTAAATGGAAAATGCCATCAGTCCTATGCTACCAGGTCAAGTCCGCTAGCAACGTTGTTGATAATTCCTGGAGGGATCATCTGGATACCAGTCTGCTTTATCACGATTTAACATATGGGTATATATTTCAAAGACACAAGGTATCCATCTCACTTGGGTTGGCTGACTTCGGGGGGTTTAGGAAACGTGAGGTATATAGGGAAGCAAAATACAAGCCACTCACGCCGGAAGAGGGGCCAAGACCAGGGATGCTGGTTGCGTTAGATGCGGAATTCGTGTCAATGCAAAACGAAGAGATCGAGGTCAAGGCAGACGGCTCACGCTCTGTTGTGCGGCCTAGTAGGTTGGGCCTTGCAAGGGTTTCTGTGCTTAGGGGGGAAGGAGAGGATGAAGAAGTTCCGTTCCTGGACGATTATATCATCACCAAAGAGCCAGTGGTAGATTATTTAACTGAGTTCTCGGGAATTCATGTTGGTGATCTGGATCCAATGCAGTCCAGACATGCATTGGTGCCACTGAAGGTAGCATACAAACGATTGTGGTTACTATTGAATCTAGGGTGTGTGTTCGTGGGTCATGGATTGTTGAAAGATTTTAGGATTATTAGTAAGTTGTCCTTCCTAGAAAATGGATACTGATAATTATTTGCCGGACTGTTTAGGGATGTGCTAATTATAAGTAGATATCCACGTCCCCAAGGAACAAGTGGTGGATACAGTCGATTTATTCGCCTTAAAAACAACCTTCCGGTAAGGAACTTAAGAAGATTACGCTACCGAGAAAACTACTAACGACCATAGAAAATTATCGCTTCGATTCCTAGCGTGGGTGATTCTAAATGAAGAAATTCAATTGAAAACGCACGATTCAATCGAGGACTCCTCGACGGCACTCAAATTATACAGGAAATACCTGGAATTTACTGATGCCGGTATCATGGAAGTCATGATGAACCGGGTCCAAGTAGAGGGCATGAAATGGGGGTTCAAACCGCCATCAAGGGTACTTGCAGAGATGGGGCAAGACAGGATGGACACACCACCAATATTGCGCGATCAGAGATCCGAAGCTAATACCCCCCAGCCTCGCAGTAGTATGACGAGGTGGCCTTCGAACACCTAAATGTATCTATAATTAGGAATAAATTGGTTACCTGCTTCGCGTGGAGTTCTGAATGGACTAAAGATGAGTCTTATTTAACTACATGTAAGCTGTGTTTGCGAGTCTGATAGATGTTTCGATCTATCAGGCTAAATCTCCGGTAAATGTAGTTTCATAGTATTCAGTCCTTATATACATGTATTTGAGGTTCACTTTTGACATCTTACATTTTATATACATGTAGGTTGGTAGAGCCTCTTCAATGTCGCAAAGAGGCCTCGAAAATTCAATACACATACATGTATGGATTACTACATGTACGGCAACTCAGTCATCTTTACGTGTGACAGTAACAAACTGTGATCCGCTCGCCTATTGAACATTCTATCTAGGTCTATATTCCTCTTCACTTTCAAAGTTCAACAACACCTGCAAACTGAGATACTTGAAGAATCTTGGAAGATCCCCTTGTCATATTCCCACATTTTCTTTCTCCGCCGAACAACCACGCTGTTCCTAATACAGCCAGCCATAACCAATTCAATTACCTCAACGCTACCACCTCAAACTCTACCAACTCAACCTCCACCAACTCAACCTCTACCAACTCAATCTCTACCAACTCAACCTTTACCAAATCAACCTCTATCGCTTGAGTCTCAACTATCTCAGTCATCCTTGCCCTGAACTGCACGGACAACTATTCACACCAGCCACTAGCATTAGGATTAAAATATCGTAAGATCCATGATGGACGACACGCAAATCACAAAGCTCACGAAGCTCACGAAGCTTTCTGGAGCTGCTAGAGCCACCGAAATCATTGGAAATGTAGGAGTTACTGGGGCCATCGGAGCTACTAGGGCTACTGGAGATGTAGAAGCTTCAGGACTTATACAGGCCAAAAAGGCTACAGAAGGAAAAGGAAAAGAAGTGAAAGAGAAGGATCTTTGTCCTCCCGGACCTGGGTTTCAAGCCATCATTCTCTGTGGGCCTGGGACCTCCCTCTATCCATTTACTGGCGTTGAGGAGTTGCTTCCCAAAGCACTTATTCCTATTGCGAATAAGCCAATGATTCAGTACCCTCTCGAATGGTGTCAAAAAGCCAGATTTGAATGTATGTTGAAAAAAATTCTTCTAGTACTTCTCTTACCACTACTACGTATATTCTGGCAGTTCCGTTTGAGACTTGAAACCAATACTAACTCCTTTTACTCGACTTTCAGCAATCTTGGTCCTTACCCTTACTGAGCATCTTATCGCAATCCAAGCATATCTTAAGTCCCAAATGTTCCCCTTCAATATTCAAATTGAGGCCCCATCGGCTCTGGAAGAAAACTTGGGGACTGCAGATGTTTTAAGAAGAGCTTATAGGGAAGGATGGATAAAGGGAGATATTGTAGTATTGCCTTGTGACCTTATAACCGACTTAGACCCCAACGAGCTTGTGAAGATATGGATGGTTGAGAATGCTGGCTTCGATTGTGATATGGGCAAAAGAAACATAGATTATGCCAACTGCCGCGAAGATGATGAAAGGAGGGGCGGCTTGGGTATCTGGTATGATGCCAGGGGAGAGGGTCAGATAAAGGGACAAGGTACTTTTCACCACTTCGCTACTTCTTTAATTAAGCTAAAAATTGATAGAAACCGATTTCTTGGCCCTGGCCCCGCATCGTGAGCCAAGTGTGGGATCCACTCCCGAATCTCAATTCCCTGGTGTGCTCAAATCACTTTTATTTAACCTCCCTGGCCAGGAGGTTATGAACAAGGAAGAGCGCCCATTCCGCAAATCCCTTCTCAGAAAGTTCCCGAATATCCAGATCAACCAGACTGTCCGTGACAGTGGTATTTACTTTCTCCCTTTCTGGGTTCTCAGGTTCATTGATAAAAACTCTAAAATGAACTCAATCCGCGAGGACGTTCTTCCATGGTGGTCTAAAGCTCGCTGGCAGAACAGGCGGCTTGCTGAAAAACTGGGGCTCCTTGAAATCCTTTCTGATGGTGGAGATACTTTTGAGCAGAGACTCAACCTCGCGGAGATGAGTTCTTCCAGGAAGCGAGATATTACACAATGGACCCAGCAAGACGTAACTGTGCAACGGGTATACTCGTCATTAGATTTGGAGGTGTTGGAGAAACTAAAGAGAGGAATTGCGGTGTCTAAAAAATCAGCGATGCCAGAATCATCCGCAAATATTCCACCACGTCCACCTCCGCCCCCTCCTCCTCCACCTCCGCCTCCCCCAGGCGGTACCAAAATTCCACCAGTAATTGTATATCTTCCAGGAAGCTCGGGGCATTTCACACGCCGCGTAGACACAGTTCATTTATATCACTCCATGTGTCTCTACATAGCAAGTTCTGCTTTCAAATCTGACCAAATCAAGATTAATCCGTCTGCCTCAATCGACCGAACGGCTACGATTAACGGATCAGATTGCTTAATAGCAGCCAAGGTTTCTATCGCCGGGGAGGCGTTTATCCAATGTTCTGTCTTGGGGTTCGGTGTTTCTATCGGTAGGGGTGCAATGGTTATAGGGTCTGTACTCATGGATGGGGCGTCAGTAGCTGAGGGTGCTAGTGTTGAGAGATGCATTTTGGGGAAGAATGTCATCATTGGAGCTGATGCGAAACTAAAAAATTGCAAGGTTGCTCCAGGTTTGTTTGTTGAGCCTGGAAGTGAGTTTTATATTCCCCCTGTTTCTGTCTTTTTTTTCAGGGAAGATGATATTGACATGATTATGAGCTTAGATCAAGCTGTTGGCGAGATTATGACGGCCTTTGACGGGATGAACAATGACAACATCCGTACCCAATATGGATCGAACCCCGATAATAACTTTCAGTTCAGTAGTGAAGACCAAGGTAATCAAGAACAGTCCAAATGGGATGGACCCTTCAGCGGCAATGAACCAGCACAGAAGGCGGTGCAAGGGGAAGCCAGGACACACAATTTTGCCGAAGACCATGAGAACAGCGAGGATATTGGGAGCCATGAGGATATCAAAGACAGTGATGATATCCAGGTTTCCGCGGATCTTGAGGGTCTTGAGGGTCTTGAGGATACCGAAGATTACGAGAATATCAAAGGCCACAAGAAGAAAAATGCAGATCAAAAGGTCGACAAGAATCTAGAAAACAATGGAAACCACAGTGACAAAGCTGAAGTCATTAACAACACACCGGAGGAAGTTAACTCTGTGGAAAACAATGATAGGGTTCAGGGGCATCTTGGTGATCTAAAGACACTAGAGATTCAAATCGAGCAGCAAATTGACGGAAAAAACACAATACCCGAATTTGGTCACAAAATCGATAAGGAAAGCCATCTAAAGAATAATCAGGAGCCCCGTCCATTACCCGAGGCTCGCCTTGTGAGGCGCGATAGCAGTGAAACGGAAGCATTGTACAAAGAGGCAGCCACCAAGCAGGATATCGTAAACGCCTTTTCTTCCTCTCCTAAAGTTGATCAGAGCAACCTTGCTTCGACACAGGCCGCATCCAAAGTGGTTTCTCCTACTCCAACACCGTCAACATCGAAAAAGACTTCGGGATTGGGGTGGAGTACCTGGGGGCTTAGTATTATCACTCTTGGGATTTGTTTTGCCTTTTTCGCCGCCATTTGTACTGTTGTCGAGAGAAGGGGTCATTTTCTAGGCTAGACAGGATTAACTTAGACAAAAAAAAAAAAGGGAATCTCAGCAGACGCAGCTTATGACATGATAGTTTCCTCTTTCTAGTTACATACATAAGACTTACTTCTTATACAACATGTGGGTAGTCTTTATTGTGTTTGTTATATAATTATATTCGAACCAGGCACGAACAGTTAATACAACAATAATTCGATTCTCCCCAATACCAAGGGGTAAATTAAATAAATATGTACTCAATATATACATGCTCATTATAAATAGTATCATTCAAGGCATCCATCCATCCATCCATCCATCAGCTTATACAAGGCCCATACACAATCAATTAAGCTTACAAAGCCGAATTTGAATTGGCGAGTGATCATACATGAGAGACTTGGCATGTGGCAATAAGTCTTGGCTTCGTGTGGCTAGGCAAATAATAACCACAAACAGTGTGTCAACAGCAACATCAACCCGTCATTCATCTTCTATCATAGAGACTACGCCTCCAGAACCTTTGACAAACAGGATCCAGCCGATTCAAACCTTCAAATATGGGTGGTGTAAGTGATTCCTCCTTTTTTTGCCATTTACATCAATTGACACATCCAGCTAACACCTCATCGCCGCCTTTGTAGGATCTTAATTTGAAAAAATCGTGGCATCCCCATCTTCTCAAGAACCAAGAGCGCGTCTGGCAAGAGGAGAATAAAGCGCTCGAAGAGCGTAAGCGGACCGAACAATGGCGTAAAGAAAGAGAAGAGGAGCGACAGCTCCAGGAGCTCCGACAACTACAGGAGGCCGCCGGGGGGAAGAAGGTGCTAGACCGTGTCGAGTTCTTGTATAGTGGCCCCTCACAGGGGATGGATCGGACTACGGATGAAATGGAAGCATATCTACTCGGGAAACGTAGGATCGACTCATTATTGAAAGGGAGCGACAACGAAAAGCTGAGCAAGCAGGCGTCCGAGACGTCATTTATGGCTATCCAAAACGCGAATACCGTGAGAGATACGGCGAACAAGATTAGGGAGGACCCTTTGTTAGCTATTAAGAAGCAAGAGCAGGCTGCCTATGAGGCTTTCATGAAGGATCCTGTAAAGAGGAGGCAGTTGAAGGAAGTCGCGGAGGGCGGCAAGGAGAAGAGCAGAGATACCCGTGATAAGGAGAGAGACAGAAAACACAGGAGCCATCGGCACCGCGACGATGACCGGAATTCACGAAGGAGCAGTCATCGTGATGACGACCGCAACCGGAGGGGCAGCCGAAGAGACAGAGACGACGATAGGAAGCATCATCACCGTCGCAGACACTCCTCCTCTCGTTCTCGCTCTCGCTCATCAACGCCACCTCGTCGTAAGGCATCCTCAAAGTCACGAGCATCATCTCGATCAAGATCACCCCTCCGCGAGAGTCGCGATTACCGTCGCCGTAGCTCTCCTGATCACGAGCGTAGACGCACTCGATCGCCACCAACTGGCCGCCGTAATGGATCGAGCTCACATCGGCGTCCACCTTCCCGTTCCCCTCGCCGGCGCTCTCCAGTCCCTCCGCCGCGCGATAGCGGGGACTATAGGTCAAGGCCCCAACGACAGCCTTACGTAAATCGTTCTAATGGGAATGGGAATGAGAACAGAAACAGAAATGGAAATGGAAATGGAAATGGAAATGCCGAAGAAGAACGGGCAAGAAAATTAGCAGCCATGCAGAGTAACGCAGACCAAATGAACGCAGAGCGCGTGAAACGCTTGGCGGAGATTACGGAGAAGGAGAAAGCTGAACTTGAGAAAGAGGAGGCAGCGAGGATGCGAAATAGCAAATACGGAGGCAAAGGTGACTTTTTGACCGGAGTCAATAGGAAAGCTGGAAACTTGGACTTGGGAGAGAGGGTTAGAAGAGGAAGACAGACACTGATCAAGGGGGAATCTGATGACTAGAAATTACGAGATCTGGTAGCTCGATTGGGCACTTCAAGCGTTGAGACCTAATTTTCTTTTGCTTTCTTTCTTTTTTAAATTAATGATTTCTTATCTTCTTTTCTTTTGCGATCTTTAGCTCTCTGGGAAGGTTTTCAATACGGAATATAGGGTGCAATTAGTGTACACTAGGTGGGCCAATAATGGCTCCGTTCACTTCCATCTTAAGTAAATATTTAAAAGAGGGGAGGTCAGAATCCTCGCTGTGATAAAACCGGTCCTCTTAACATACCTAGACTGCCGCAAATATTCAATAGCAGGACAAGCCAATAAGAATAGCATAAGTCCTCAAACGAAACAGACGAGTGATGAAGCATGAAGACATAACAGAACCTTTCGCCAGTACTAATCAGGCTAAAGCCCCATGCAGGGCTTGTGCACCCTAATACAGCTTTCAACAGCAAATACTTGCTTGCAATGTGGGCTCTATTAAAATGTGGATAAGACTTAGCTGCTCTTGCACCGGAAACGAAGCCGAAGCGGAAATCTCGGGTTTTACCAAACCCGTACCCACTTTATGGCCCCACCATGATCGGTGGAGTTGTGGAACGGTAGGTAGATGTTCGCATATGTACATGTACTTAGTAGATTAAGTATTTCGGTGACCAAAATTGCCTTTGGTACGATCAGGGCATATTTAATAATAATTATCCTTCGATATGGTCGATGGTTTAGGAACGATGACAGAAGACCGATCAGGTACATATGTACTCACAGTTCAGGACCAGGACCTATGAGATAACGATAAGAGAGCCCTGAGATGCAAGATAAACAAACGATAGCCAGGAACGTCGTTCTGGTAAAAATGTGGTGAAATTGAGCCATATTCTATGAACCTAGACCCATAATTCTTAGAGTACGTGGAAAGTGAAGTTAGATTTATGCTTAGAATTTCGATCACATGTCAAAATTCTTCAATCAACAACGCACAAAGACTTGATGATCGAAAATGCAACCAAGCAAAAAAAAAACTAATAAATTAGTCAAACTGCTCCATTTAAATATCTCATGCCGACATACGTATCTTCGGTTTCCCCGAAATTCCCCGGTGTTCCATGTGTCATCCCCGAGGTTTCAGCTCTCTCGGATTTCTTTCTGGTCCAAATAGTATATTAAACAAGCGGTGTAGGTGACTTCCGGATTCGACCGGATGATAAGACATGATTGGATAGTCTGTCTAGAGATCTAGAGTTTTTTGACCCCCCCATACAGATTCAGGTAGAATTAATGCGAAAGTGGGTTTTCCGTGACCCGATAGTCCCATTGGCCCTCAAAGGAATTTTTGCAGTGAGCACGGGCCAAGAAACCCACCCTTTTAGTTCTGACTTTCGCAATAATTCTACCGGATACTGTAATAGACCTTTATGTCAGCTTTTCTATAGTGAGGCTGATTAGATGCTCCTAAACCCTGCTGTCGATTTTCCAATAAAGTGGTGCACCCAGCGAGAAAACCCCTCTTGCCAAGCGCGCAAAGTGCGGGTGGCTGTCTTCAATGGATAAGATACATACATCTCAACCTTGGGTAAAGGTTACATAAAAGAAAATGCTGTTGCGATTATGAATCCCAACCAATATGATACATTTCAACATTCATTTCAATTTGTCCTTTTGTTTTTTTAGTTATTTTCTTCCAGCACCAATTAAGAAGCCTGCCTCGTTTCCTATTTTCCAAATCCATCCACCAACATCGCCGCAGCGACCTGAGCGCCTGTTCGTTCAGTTGCCAGGAGATTGTATTGGGCAGCTGCACTGCGAGTAGACATGACGTCAAGTCGTATTCCCAGCTCGCTGATTCTAGCCTTCGTTTTCGGCGAGAGAAGAAGGGTTCGACGTCCAGTCCCGAGGATTAGTAGTTCTATGTCTTGAGTGTCAGCAAATTGTATGATTTATGTTGTTTGGGCCTGTAACATGAAAAAATGCTGTTGGTCATGTACACAAAATCAGTGAAGTAAGAATCCAAGGAAGAGAAAGAAGAAATGAAAGCCGAAGAAAATAACAGCCACGTGGTTAACACGAAATAGATTGAGATCTAGTGATGTCGGGGAAGAGAGTGTAATGTGGACCAACCAGGCTTCGGGTAAACAACATCCAAGAGGCCCCAAGCTTCCTCTGCCAGTTCTAATACGCCCTTTTTCGCCTTGCTCTCTTCGGGACCACCCTGTGCAATTGGTTTCCACACAAACGCTTCACTGTTCAACAACATGACACCGTCGTTGATCCGCGTTCCGTTATTCAGTAGGAATCCATCGGCGTAGATTACATCGACCGCTGACGGCGGCGCCGGGATTGATCCAAGGACATCAAGCGTTGAGAAAGTTTCAGCCGGATTTGTAGATTCCTCCTGGAAAGGCATTCCCGTAGTCTCGGGGGTGTCGATTGGTTCGCTAGCCTTTCGGAGGAGACTAGAGTTCGTGTGGAATGCAGCTCGACGTGAAATCGACAGGCGCTGGAGCATTGAGACGGCATTTGGACGGAGCAAGGCGTGCATACTTTCAGTTATTCTGTTTCACTATTTCGAGGGTACAGTATTGGCACTGGGCGTTGTGGGCGTTGTAGAATCGCGGATGGCGGGGTGAATGGGAGGGGTAAACCGTGGAACTGGGCGATGCACCCACTGGACGGATGGACGGATGGGTTAATATCTAACACGACAGGAGCACGAGTGTGTGATCTGACGCACTACCTACAGGTACTCAAGAGTTCTCTCGCTATGCGATGCAATGTGGCAGGGTGCGGTGAGATCCGTGATGTTGTGTGATATGTGGACGTCCTGGGTTGAAGTTGTATGTGGTTAGTGTTTTGTCTTGTTTATGTGACGCTTTTCCATGTGTGGAGGTATCACTTATGCAAGTACTTGTATATTTTCAGTTCACTTCTGTATGAACAGTCCTATCACGAATCTATGTGATCGCAAATGCAGAATTAGTGCCTGATAAAGCTGTGAGGTGGTGAAAATTGTTGAATTGTAAAAGAATGCAAAAGAATGCAGAGCCTGATGTTGCGTTGGCGATATTAGGCCGCAGAGCAGGCATAGAACTAGAACTATGTTGGTGACGCAACCCCGTTTTGCAGTGCTCTCCTTGCCCACAAACACAACTCCACGGTAGGCTTCCGGCTGGGCAGTCTAATCTCTGCACCAGCGGACCTTTCAAGGTGCTCTACTTCTTATGTACATACATGATGTATGCAGTACATTTACTTTACTCTAGCTACTCTATTTACACTTCATGTCTTCTACGAAGTATCTACATACATGTAGGTATGTAGGTATGTGCTTGCTACATGAGTATAATGAGTATACCAATTTCTGTCGGCACATCCATTGGCGTGCATGCAACTTTGATCATTAGTACCTCATCTAATAGTATTGGAAAGGCGTTTTAGGGTCTTCGTGCATATCAAAATGGCAATTCGTCGGTACTTATGGGGCCTTCTCTAGGATATCCATTTGGCCCAAACTCCTTTTTCGCCGCATCTCCAGTTGGAGCACCCTGCCCCAGACACCAACTAAGGCTTTAGTGCAGAGAGGGCGCCTGCATGTCAGTTGCATGATGGACAGGGAAGTGTTAAAAATGCGGGGAAATCCAAGCTCCTCCCCTGAATGCTTTCCCCACCACCCGTTTTTTTATTATTATTTTTTTTGTTAAAGAAAACCCAATACCATGTAAAACAAAGCAGGGCGCAGTTACCCCATACTCAAATCACCGGATATGTTATGTGGGTTGAAGTGTCATAATGAATGGGTAGGTAGGTACATTTAGGCTTGAGATATAATCATATATATATGCACTCAAGCACTCTGTCTAGCAGAGCCTCAACTCCTCACAACCGTTGCTCTGTAGAGATGTATCTATGACCTCAGGTTTAAAAGTGTTCCCGTAATAATTCCTCATGTTGGTGTACCTTGCTTGAGGATATCAACGACATTGGTCTTGATCTTCTTGATCTTCAGGTTTTCGACCCTAACGGGTTAGCATATGACGGGAAAGTATGTCCCTACACCAATCAACAAGGCGATATGCAGATCCCAGATCCAGAACCACCCCACGAGCCACAAGCTTGGTCTCACAGCTTTTTTGTTTCTTTTTTCCCCTTCTCTCTTCTTACCTTGCCTTGCTACCTGGACCCTTGAGGTTGGTGCAGCATCTCTACATACTTCCCTGAACACGCATTTTCTTGCTCCGATTATTCCCGTAGTATTTTTTGTTTGCTTCTGTCATTGAAACAGAATCACCTCGTTGTCGATTGCATAGATCCTCTTGCTTAGACATACATGTACATAGCTACATACTACTCTAGAGTAGAGTCTACATACCGTCCTTTGACCTTTACTTACCTACTTTACCTGTCAGGCATCTGCATCCTTACCGCATAATATTAGCTCCCGCAATAATTTGGACTAAAGGGACGCGCCACAGGAAAGATAAGTCTTGTCCCTTAAGAAAAATAACAGAAGAAGGATCCTGCTCTAGACTTCATACCTTGCACCTTGCCGTTTTCAATCCCTTGCCAGCCAAAAAAGACGGGACGGAAACGCCGCCCAGACTTTCCTTTCCCCAGAAAAAAAGGCATCTGTCCACCGTGTCAAAGATTACCGCGGAATATTTTCCTGTCCCCTCGTGCCCGATATCGTTCGAGTTCGTCGTCATTTTGGTGTCCCTGCCAGTGCTTTTGCCGATTCCCTTCCCTGCTACTGCGGCTGGTGGTGATGTTAGTGCATCTTTGAAGCTATCAATCATACGTCTCAGATCAAAGTTCTCTTCCCCCCCCCCCCCCCCAAGAGTAACAACCACTCCAGATCTATCGGACGCCCAACAAGAAAGAAAACCATCTTCTTCTGCCAACCTTCGCTCTTTCTTGTTTACTCGTGTAAATATCACACGATACCTATCTGTAACCAATTATCTCATCCGAGTGGCAGTTTGATCCGATCATATCCCTTTACATAACCATCTCGTGAACCCCAGGCTCATCTCGCTTCACCCGATTCGATTCTAGTTTCTTTGTGCTCTAGGCAGCGGCTCTTTCTTTCTTTTTCCTTTTCTTCTTTCTTTTCTTGTCGTCATTGTCCCAGCCCTTACCGCAGGGAAACTCGGTAGGCTGGCTTGCTTGTGTAGCGGATTACTACCAATCGTCTACTGTGGGACAAGCCATCTCTATCTATCTGCTCAGCGCTAGAGATCCCCAGCTACCTACATTCATACATACCCGGCGTTTTCGATCGAGCTACAGCTTATCTTTGGGCTTGCAAATTAACTATTCATTTTCTTCCCCATTCCATTCTCATTCCTTATCCGCCGTAGCAGTCCCATAGGGAGATATCGGAACTCCTGACAAACAATCGACGTTTTGTCTCCAAAAAATATCAATCAAAGCTCTTGGGAGTTTCTCACAGCTCCGAGACGAGCTCACTAGCTTTCTTGGTCAACTTATGCCAATTTCTTGTCACGGCCACAATTGTCCAACAACATCTTCACATTCTACTCGGATTTCAATATCCCTATTTTCAGTGCATTTACAAGCGATATTAGAAGGCTACGTGGGGTTACGTGGGACTCCGTTGGAAGCGAGTAGACGGAAATCTTAAGTAACCTGCGGAGTTGATTCGGGTGAAACGGGCATGGGGGGAGAGAAAACCGGACCAAGGCTCGGTAAACTGTCTCCTCTGCAATTAGGACTTTCCGAGACTGACCTTCTTCTTCTCCTTTCAGAAACGGCCAACACCTTCCGTCACGGTCTATTCAATTGCTTCTTTGACGAAGAACTACTGATACGTTCTAGTGCCCTCAAAACTCTTGGACATGTCGTGGATTATTGGACAAGTGGGTGGCAGGATTATCTCAGGACTTCCTGGACACCATTATCACCTCATTTGAATAGACCCCCCATTGCACGCCAGTCAAGTAATGGCTCCGGTATCTCGCCCGCCCCAAACAGTCAACGGGGTATCCTTCGGAGAGATTCTAGTTTCAAAATGCATTTCGAAGACGTATTTGGACTTGATGCAGATGATTTGAGCATCGTGACGCCTCGGATACTAGATGCACCATACAACAACTTTCTACCTCTAACTCCAGAGAAGGAAGACAGTTGGACATCAATATCAGGGGTGGAATACGCCGTGTCTCCTACAGAGACAGGTTCGTTTACTGACGGTGCAGTAAGGTTTTCCAACAGGGGATTGGGAGATTTTGAGTTTGCAAACAGAGATGTAGCTTGGGCTGGTCGCCAGGTATCCGAGGAAATATGGGGATTGGAGGAAATGAAGACCAATCTAGAAAATTTTTACACTTGGTTGCTGAGATTCTCACTCGACTGCCCTTTCAAAGACGTTAGAAAGGGATGCAGGGAGATATTAAAACGAGCAGAGGTAAACTTACGCATAATGGTTTCGATTTCATACAAAAGCATCTATTGAAAGATTCTAACTCAATTCTGTGTATCTGGTAGCGAGCTGGAGCCCAAATACCCGAGGTACCCGTAAGAGGGCCGTCATTTTTCATTCCTTTAGGGGAAACAATTGGCCTCAACTACGGGCCCTGGACTCCTGCCACACCAAACCCAAGGTCTCCCAACCCTCTTGATCTTTCGGAAGATGAGGAGGACGGAATAATGTTCTCTCCGAGGGAGTCGAGTGGGAATGGAAATTTAGCATCGGGAATAATGATTCCGGACCCCAATAAAACTATGAATGGAGATCGTACTCGTTCTACCTCCCGTGGTAGAACCCCGGTTGGTTCTTTTGGCCGAGGTAGCAGGCGGACAACGGTTTCTATGGTATCATCGCTTTTTCAAACGCCGCCATCTCCACCAAACGGATTGAACACATCCTACAAGTTCAAAAGACGCAATCATCCCCGTCGGCAGATTCCAAAGTTTCTGCCAAAACCGAAGCCTCCTAGTGACGATATTCGATATCTACAAGTGAACGCTTATATGCGTACAGGCAGGGTTGGAAATTTGAATAAGATTCTCTTCCATTTTCCAAGTTTTGCGGAGGTAAACAGGGAGGCTACTGATCTATTTGTCTCGGACGACTCGCCGAACGGGCCCCTGCCCCAGAAGTGGAGAATTTACCTGGGGATTCTTGCTGCGGCCGAGAAAAAGTGTCAATACTACCTGTCGCTACTTTCGGAGAAATTCTTGACCATACGAGGCGAGAAAGAATGGTTAAAGGGGATCCAGAACACACCACCAAAACTGCAGCGGATCTCAAAACTGAATATGTTACTTGCGCACCGTCCTTGGACCATCACACAAGACCATGTCAAAGAACTAATTCGTGGAGATGAGTCGGAAGAATTGGATCCCGAACATAAGTGGACTACAGCAGAGGCTCTCCAAGCCATTATCATAATGAGCTTCTATCATGGAAAATCAGCAATGGCTCTTGCATGGGGTATACTGCCTGAGGCAGATCTGCTAGGTGGAACGGTGAGGACGTTGGAAAAGTGCACACCGGTAGCTCCTTTTGGAAGCTTTGTCCAGTCTTCATCCACAGATCCCCCAAGCGAAGGATCAGGTGGTGTTAGGCGAGATGGGGATTCGTTGAAATCTACATCGGGACACTCAAGTAGAAAAAGAGCACAGGTAGCTGTTGGGCAAGGAACTGAAGAAGGGCCAGAAAAATGGAGGAAAACACCGACCGGCAGTATCCCCTTCGTGTCGAACCCAAGTAGCCCAGCTAGTCCTGTCCTCGCGCCATCGGACCCAATGCATGTACCGCCTCCGCTCCTGAAAAAAGAAGCTGTAACACTAGGAACTCCAAAGGAACGTCATCATCATCGTACAAAGAGCCAGAAACGCAGGAAATCTTTCGAGGAGTGTGCCACAAGCGAAGATGCCCCACCTCCCCCAGCAACTGCAGGTTTAGATGGATTTTCACTTTCGGCCCCAAACAGCTATGTTCCGTTCTCCAGTCTGTCAAGCGCGAGACCATTACCAGCTCGAGACTACCTTCTTTCGCCGTCAAGCTCAACGAGCTCGCTCTTTGACACGATGGGTTTACTTGGCGAGCAATTACCTGTGAACGTTCTTATTGAAGATTACACTCGTTTTTTACACCCAGAAAGTATAGATCGCCAGCACGAAGACTTCGACCCAAACTCTCGTGAGTACGAATTTTTACCCATGGAGGAGTTTGAGTGGGAACGCAACGCAAGCAGCATCATCTCGGACTATCTTGATAATGTCGTAGATGTATTGGACCGTTACTTTAAAGAGGCGCAAGATGCGGATGCCGACGACGAAGTATACTTCGCCTCGGCGTTGGAAATGTTGCCGCCGAGGAGACTTTTAACCGATGAAATCTCCAGTACCAGAAGCGAGTATAGTTCAAGTAGAATAAATAGCGCAGAATTTGAAGATTTTCTCGCATCACCGCCAGACCGTCACGATCGCACTGGAAGGTCGTTCATATCCTCGGGGCGTTCAGCGTCGTCGCCACCAAGGTATGTCTTTGAACCGAAGAGCTTCAAAGAAGCAGCATGGTTCTACAGTTTGCGGCTGCTTGGGATTCAGAAAGACGACTTTCGGTACAGCGAGATCAAAGTGCTTTTAGATAAGGGTTCAAGGAGGTATTTGAAAAGGGTTTGCGCCCAGCCTGATATGGTCAGCGTAGCGGACTGGGTCGGAGCAGGTCAAGGGATGGGCGGATTGAGGAGTGAAGAGAAGAGTCTGTTGGCGCTATTGGCCTGTCAGGCTAGATTCATGGGAGAGGTATTGTGGGGAGTTAGGGCTGTGAGTGAATACATTGGATAATGACCTATGGTGTGGGGTTTGGATGGGGTTTGGATGGGGTCTGTTGTGACCATTTCTCAGGGTTCGGACTTTAATTGCTTTTTTTATTATGTTAATCTTGGGCAAGGAAAAACAGGTTTCTACGACATGTGTTTGGAGCATTCCCCTCGCTTTATTTTTTTTCTTTAAAGTACCTTCGTTTCTACTATTTGAGTTTATTTTTACGAAAAAAAGATTGCATCATAAGGGGATAATGTTGTGTATCTGGTGTTAAGGTCAGGACTATTGTTTTTATTATCCTCATTTCCTTCAAGTTTAGTTTATTTTTGGGACGGACGCACGGTGTTTGAGGATCTTACATACTCGCATTTTTTTCTTTCTTTTTTCTTTTTTCCTTTGAGTCTTGGTCAATCCTCATCAGTTATATATCTCCATATGCATTTCTAGGATTTCTTGTTTCTGTCAGAAAATGTTCCAAAGTGAAAATAGAAGAGAGAGAGAAAAGCTTACGAACGAGCCACAAGTAAATGGTGGTAAAACTATGTTTTCGATAAATTAAAATAAAAAGTTACTTTCTGTTTTCAGTTGCGGGGGTGGGAAGCCAGTTTCAAGTAAATGAATTATTCGAGGTTTATTATTTAGTCGCCGGACCACGCGATGAGCTGTTTGTGCCATTCACCACAATTGCTCCCCGACAGCTTTGTATGCGCACTCTGTTGCCAAGAGTCATTAAAATACATGTAGTTAGTCGCCCCTGATAGCGAGTGACCGCCCATGAAGGAAATAGCTCCTAGGCACACATCTATAGAATACAGATAACTATTCCGACAAACGTCCAGACCCACTATCCCCCAAAGTAACCACCGAGAAGCCGGTCCCCCCTAGGTCCAATCCAACGGCAAAACACCTACTAAGCCTCCTATGCCACCAGACTGGGGAAGTTTATCATGTTTTTTTGGTCCGGCCTCCCCCATTAATTGGCTTGGATTGGGTCTCCCCGCTTACTTTTTATAGGCTGTATCGTACGGGGTGGCAGTATATGCTTAAGGATAGAAGCCGGGCCGAGAACCTCACCGTATCACTAGTTGCGCCTGCATGAGAATTTGGCACCGGACTGGCGGTGGTGGTCGCTGGATGGCTAGTAAGATTGATATGATGTAGGTTGCAGCAAGTATAGAATGTACCAGCACGCAAACCCATCTATCCATCCAACTGGATGATGATCTCCCGTTCACCTACAACGACAGTGTAACAAAGAGAAACACAATCCCAACGAACCCACTTCCCCACACCGGCCCAACATCCCACTCCCAGACTCCGCGTCGTGTTTAAACTTTGTGCCCACCTGTACGAATCCGCCTGCCCGCACACCTACAATCTCCCTCACATACGTTACTGCGAGCCTACCGTCAAATCCCACTCACTCAATTCTGGGGGCACGAAGCATCCGGAAGCAAGGTCCCCTACGGAGCAATGACGACTTCTCGGTTTCACGGAGGAGATGTGTGCTAGGTTTGTAAATATGGCCGGAGAGAGAAAACAAAAACTCTATTCTTACACGGCAATGCATGACGATGTATCCTCAATTTCGAATGTTGGGTAAAGGCAAAATAGAACTAATTAATGCAAGCACAAACATTCCATCGCGGGAAGGGACAAAAAACAGAAAGAAGCAAGCTTAAAACCCAGTATACAAAGTTCCAAGTCCAAGAAAGGGACACCCAAAACACAGACACAACAAAAAACAATCACATATCGTACCCTCCTCTCTGTCTCTCTCTCTAGTTCTATCTAGTGTTTGTGCTTAAAGTCCCCATGATAGCAATCGACCCCTGCAGTCTCAAAGCTGTCCTTTGCGAGCTCATGCAAGCTCCTGCCCATCCACGGGTATTCCCTTACTTGGCTCACCAGCATTCCACCCTCCTCAACCTCCTCCATGGTGACGGCCCTGTCGACCCCTTTCTCCTTGAGCTCCTCCGTCACGGCGTCAACATCAATCTCGAGGAAGTCCTTGATGAAGTTTCCAACATCCGTGTTCTCGTGGTTTCCGTGCAGCCTCTCGGACCCCTTGCTTCCGTAGATGTTCACGTCGACGCCAGAGTGCCCATGGGTGCTCCACCCGACCTGGGCACGCCGGGAGATGATGTCTGCGAGAACCCAGGCGGCGCCAGACTTGGCGGCCTTGAGCGCCTCGATCTCCTCGTCGGAGGCGTCGTGGATGCCGAGTCCCTCCGCGAGGATGGTATCCTTGACGAACTCATCTTCGGAAGAGCTGGATCCGCTGTAGCTGGCGTATTTGGCGGCGAGGTACTCGGAAGAGGATGAGGCATTGGCAAGGACCTCAGGGTACCAGAGGTACTCAGGGTAGCTGGCGTGGAGCTGTCTAGCGAGCGCCAGACCACCGGTCTCGTGGTCACTGGTAGCAACGAGGACGCTGGGGTTCTTTGCGTTTTCAACAAATTTGAGGACCCTGTTGAAGGCCTTGTCGTAACCTAGCACCTCCCGCACCTGTGCAGCTGGATCGTTACCATGGCCGGCATGGTCAATTCTGCTGCCTTCGACCATGAGGAAGAAACCCTTGTCGCTGTCCTTGGTGGCCTCCTCTAGCACCCTCAATGCAACCTCCGTCATCTCGTCGAGACTGGGGTACTCCTCGTCCTTGCGGTCAATCTCAAAAGGAATGTCGGTTGACGCAAACAGTCCGAGAAGCGGAAGCTTGACCTTCTTACCCTTCTCAAGGGAGTCGAAACCCTTACGGCCAGACACATACTGGAAGCCAAATTTCTTCTGGGCCTCCGTGACGAGATCCCGGTCATCCTTACGGCAAGATCCTTCGGTGCTGTTGGGAAGGAAGTGGCAAGCACCACCACCCATCATCAGATCCACAACGCGTCCAAGAGGATAGTCGCCGAGCTGTTGCTCCGCAATACGGTCCTCCTCCATACGCATGTTGACATGGGCAGAGAAACAAGCAGGTGTAGCACTATATCGAAAAACATCAGCTCCAGTTGCAATCCAAGCTCCGGGTGATGTTGAAGGGGTGTCCATACTCAGTAAGCCTAGTGGTGACCACCAATCCAGTCATGTAACCCGCCTTCTTTGCAGCCTCCAAAACAGTTCCACAAGGCGATCCATCTGGTAGCACAGAGATCGCGCCATTGTAACTCTTGATACCGCACGAGAATGCGGTCGCTCCGGCGGCCGAGTCGGTCACCAAGCTGTTTGTAGAGCGGGTCCTGCTGGTCCCGATAAGGTGTTTATCGAGCGTAAGGGTGTTGTCCCATGAGAGCCCATCTGTGAGCTGGCGGTACTCGCGCGTGAGGGCGAGTGACGTCGGTCCCATACCTATATATCAACCGCATTAATACGAGACCTAACCCTACCCCCTCCCTCCCCCCTCCTCAAATGAAGACGGAGAACCTACCATCGGAGACCATAAACACTATGTTTCTCTTCCCCGAAGGCGGGAACTTGTCGAGCCCACTGCCCGGTGCAGTGTCTGCGTGAACCCACATCACCGCAATGACGACGATACCTGCAATTAACGTTAGCTAGCTAACCCCTCCCCCCCTCTACAATCTCCACCCCCCCATAACCATAACCATAACCGGGACTGTAGTAAACTTACCAACAGTGGCCACAGCGGCCCAAACACCCAGCCCGATCTGCATCCAGCCCTGCCATTTGCAGCGCTCCTGGTGCTTGCGGGTCCGCTGGCCGCCGAGCAGCGCGTCTTCGGGGCTATGGCCGTCGTCTGACATTTTCTCTGACATTTTCTCTATATGTATTTATCGTTTGTATGTGCTGTTATGGGGTGTAAGAGAGAGAGAGAGAGACGGAGATAGTGAGATAGTGAGGAGAGTAAGTGTGTGTGAGAGAGGTATGGCTGGTGCTCTAACTGCTACGCAACAACGCAGGATGAGGTGGTGGGCCGTATCGGGTTGGCTGGGTGCGAGTCTGCGAGTCTGCCGGGTAGAAAGGGACTAAGGGTCAGCGAGGTGCGGCTTCGTTCAGGGGTTGTTGGCGCGGGTTGGCTGGGGGGTGCTCGCGTGCTCAATCAGGGTAGAGGACTAGAGGAGAGTGAGTACCTGAGCAGAAGAGAAAATTCTCGTGAGAGCGGAGGGGGATTGGTGGGTTTGGGGGAAGTGGTTTTTGTTTTTTTGTGTTCTCGTGCTACGGCTCAGTTTGTTTCGTTTCGGGGAGAGCACAGAGTTGGGTTACTTGAAACTTGGGATAGGAATACAGTGTTGTAGATACAAGTACATAGGTTTTTAGATCTCAACTCTCTTTACAGAACACATTGTACCAGTATCCATGACAGACATAAGTTACAGCCGCAATCAAAGACTCGCTATCAAAAAGCCAATTTCTGTTTCTGCAGACGTATGTACTCGACAGATCACGATCACGAATGCAATATCACGTAGCACCAATACTAATAGCGATAACAATTACAACCCAACCCCCGATAATGACAAATCCCATTAAGCCCGCCGAACTGCAAAACTGCACCACCGTCTTTTCTTTTCTTCAAAAAAAGTAAACCTCCACCTAGCTAGAGTAGGAGGCTCGATCTCTCCTCGCAACCTAATCTCCCAGATCGATATTAGAAAGAGACCATGGCCCCATCTCATACCCCACACTATCACACTATCGACGTGGTGAACAGACGTTATTTAATCTCCCCCCTCCCCCCACCATATGGAAATTATAATTATGGAGTAGGCACTATGCGATTGTTGTAAAGCACCCACCCACCCACGCATGCGGCCGGCAAGCCACCACAACTGCTATCTCCATATATTTAATGAAGGCAGCGTTTCACGGGGAGGGTATGTAATGAGGCTTGAGTGTACGTGTGTGTGTGTGCCAGTGCTCAATTGCAATAGTATGGCATATATTGCAATTGAAATCTAAAATGCAATAACGCCAGTTTACCGTTTTACCCATGAAAGATGGCATGATCCGACTACCTACGCTGCGCTGGGTGGCCGTAGGTGGGGAATGTGTAGATTGCGAGC